GCCAAATAAATAACTATTAAAAAAAAAAAAAAAAGACCTTTTTTTTTTTTTTTTCAGTGGATATATTGAAAAAAGCTGAAGAAGGAAACAGGCAGAAATGAAAAATGATTCAGGGAGTCGATGGTATAGATTGTCACTATACAGCTGCAGATCATATATTCAGAGCAAGTGTGTGAAAGGCTGCACACTCCCTGGGAGAGGGGAGGGAGCCTCTTTCCTCTTTAATAGCCTAAAGCACAAAGTTCTCGCTCTATTTCGAGCTGAGACCCAGCAAGCAGAAGGCAGCTTTTCTGTCAGATAAAGCAAGGCAACAGGATCCAATACAGCAGCTTCCGTGCAGTCTCTTGCTCCTGAGCCCCCTTCTTCAACTCCTCTTTCTTCTTCTGGTGATGGGAAGGCAAAGCATTTCCTGTCCCTCTGAGCCCACACTGTACCCTGCTTGTCCCTACAGTAACAGCAGGCACCCGTGGCTCTTCTCCAAAGACATTTACACATAGGAAGCAGTTGAGCAGTGTATTAAGCAAGCATAAGCTGCAGTGGGCGTGATTTAGAATCAGTTATTTTTCTGTCCATCATGACAAAATAAAACCAGCAAATCCTGACTTCATAGAAATTCTCCTAAAGTAGTGGCTGGCCCCAAAAACTGAATATCTGTCAAGTTTTTATATCACAGGAGAATAGATGCAGCCAAAAGAACATTTAGTTTAAAATGACTACTCCCAACTACGCACGGAGGAGTGGGCGGCTCCCAATTGAAGTAAGCATACACAGCGCCACTTAGTGGTGAAAGCGGAGTCACCACTGAGAAAAATGAGAAGTTTTAACACTAGACTTTTTTTTTTTTGTCCCCCTGAACATGAACTATGTCTGGTCTCTCTGTCCTCGCCTGCCAAATACCATCACAGTGCTTTTACTACAAAAAAGTGTACCTACCAAACAACAGAAGTCCCAGAGAGCTAAGCCTCAAGGCCAGCGGAACCAAAGGCTGCTGAGCATCAAACAGATGCACTGAAGAGCTTTCAGAATTCTATAGCGCTCTACCAAATCGTTTCTGGTGATGCAGCCCGAAGCTGTGTTTAAACAAATGATTGAGCTTAGTATCTGCCTGTACTCCAAAGAACAGCAATCTCTTTGCTCACAAACTGTATTTTATATAGACCTGGGCCATAAACAAATGCAGGAAAACTGAAGACTGATAGCAATTGAAATGTAACTATTATTTTTCCATTCCATCAACCAGTTAAAATACTACATATCTAGCTCGCGCACTTGCATAACAGAACACAGTAACTAACAAAAAGAAAGACTTTTATTCAGAACAGATTAGTGCGTCTTTACAAGAAAGTAAGGATTTCAACTTACAGTCAGCATTGTCACCAGCAATGTGCCTTTCCTGAAGAGGAGATCCTCGTCTTTTATCAAGTGTCAACTGCAGGAGTCTGTAAACAACCCCCCCCCCCCCAACCCACAGCAACCAAACAACCCACATCAAAACCCACCCACACCCATACCCCCAAAGCTCTGTGTGGATTTTATGTATATAAATATAAACCCATGTCTTCATAGATGACGACTGTATCCATTTTACAGTTCAGGTCCTTCTCCTCCAGGATCCAGCTATAAAAGATGATGACAGTTTTGTGCTCATGCCACAGATTTGCATTCTACAAACCCACATGTGACAGCTCTTGCTTTACAACATTTTAGTAGATGGAGGCTTCAGGGTAGGCCACAAAAGTGGGGTTTGGATTCAGTGTTCTCCTCCTCTCCCAACAGAGGCAGCTGCTGCCAGAGAGACACCTGCCAAAAAGCATCTCCAAAACACAAAGGAGATCCGAAGTAACGCAGTCGGGGCTTCGCCTCTGTTACTCATTTCAGGGAGGCGATTCTGCCCAGAAACACCACCGTTCACGTTTAAAAAGGCAGAGAACGCGCCTCCTGGCGGGAAGAGTTTCTCCCGTTGCCGATTCGCCCCCAGGCCGCCGCCGC